ACGCTTTATTATGGGGGTGGTGTCTATTGCTCAGCTAAAATTCAATTGCCATGGGAAGAGGAGAATGAACTTGGGGGCACCATTAACAGATTTTTAGCAAGAACAAAAGGGCTGACGTGAGATTGTCCTTGATGAAGAGAATCCCAAACACACCTAGCCTCAGATTTTGATTTCTAATGTCATTCTCCAACAGAAGGAAAAAGGGCTCCTTGGAGAATGGCTGATTCTAGGACTCGGGCAAGAAACATTCAGGGTGAGTCTGGTACATCTGGTAATGCCAAAAAGTAAGGAAGTGCTCAAAAAGTAAGAAAAAAAAAAAGAAAGAAAAAACTCACAATGATGGAGGTATGTCAGAGGATCACAGAAACCAATGGAAAGAGCTCCTAATGGCCAAATCTGGAACAATTTGAGCAAAAAAATAAATAATGTTATATTGGATTACAACTTAAAGTATAAAATAAATATCTGTGAGACCATATTAATATAAATAAATGATCGCATAAGTAATATCTGAGGGAGAAGAGGCACATTTTCCATGGAGAATTCCAAGGAATTTACGCAGATATTGGGCACTCTAGGAAGTGAAGCATAACTCCCCACTCCTTAGGTGGGAGCACAGTGATTTCCTGTCAAAGAACACAACATGGAAAGGCTAGGGGGGAAGAATGGAGAAACTCAGCAAGTGAGGCTTCAAACAGTCAATCAAGGTCAAACTCAATGGTCATAAATCATGTCGATGATAGGCTGTGACGAGAAGGGCACTTTACTCCTGTGATCTTTATCCCCAAATTCATAACCTTACTTTAATCATCAGAAACACATTAGACAAGCCACCGTGGAGGAATATTCTACAAAATATCTAACCAGTACTTCTCAGAACTGTGAAGCTCATCAAAAACAAGGGACATGGTAGCCAAGTGGAGCCTAAAGAGGCAGGAGGACTACATGTAATGGGGGGTCCTGGATGGCATTCTGCCACAGAAAAGGACATTAGGTAAAAATTATGGAAACCTGAATAAAGTATGGACTTCAGTTAATGATAAGGTATTGATATTGGTTCCCTAATCTAACAAATGTATCAAATATTAATAATTGGGGAAACTGGGTGTGGCAGATCTGGGAGCTCTGTGTACTATCCACTCAATTTGTCTGTAAATCTAAACCTGTTCTAAAATTAAAAGCTGAGAGAGAGAAAGAGGGATAGGGAATATGAGTCCTTTCCCTTTCCTGTATAGGAAGCCAAAATATTTGGAGGTGAGGGAGTTATCTTCTGACTGTAGCAATGACAATTCACAGCCATAACTAATTCTGGACCACTCTGTTGGGTTTTTGTTATATAAGAAAATAAACTTCACTGTTGAAGCTGTTTTGGGCCAGGTGTCTTATTCCTTGCAGCTGAGTGCATCCCAATGGACACTCCTCAGGTCACTTTCACGGCCACTGCTGTGGTTTAGACCTTCATCTCCTTACTCAAGATCGTTAGCCTGCCTGAGCACTCTTCCTTCCTCATCTGGTTACTCTTCCTTCTCCGGATTTACCCCCTGGCTGCATCTCTCCCACACCAGAGGCCAGCATTTCTTGCCCTTTCCAGGACGGGGCTGTTCTCTTTATACTTCCAAGCTTGTGCAGACTTGACTCCTTCTGCCTGGAATGCCCATTCCTCCCTCCATTCCAGCAAATAGCTACCCCAATGCAAGTTTCAACTCACCGTGTGTGATGCGCAGGCTTCTCCTATGTCCCTGAAGATCTACCAGTAAACACGGGCTACATAGTAAGCATGGTCGGTGCTCTGACTATAACGAGCTGTACCCCTGTGATTAGGTTATATTGTACAACACAGTTGATTTTAAGAACAGATTATCTTGCAGGACCTGACTGAATCATATGAACTTTTAAAACAGAATGTTTTCTCTGGTTGGTAACAAAAGAGGAAGTCAGACAGAGATTCAGCATGTGAGGGGGATTTGATTTTCAAGAAATTCTCTGTTGCGGGCTTTGAGGCTGGAGTGGTCCCATGGCAAGGAACGCTGGTGGGCTCTAGAAGCTGACAGCAGGCCGTGGCTGAAAGTCTGGGAGGAAACGGGGGCCTCAGTCGCACAACCACAAGGAACTGAATTCTGACAACAAGAATGAAGATGGAAGTAGATCTTCCTGCAGAGCCTCCAGATAAGAGCTCAGCCCAGCTGATATCCTGATTTCAGCCTCGTGATACCGAACGGAGAACCAGCCATGACACCACGCAAACTCTGACCTGGAGAGCTGTGAACTAATAATAAATAGGTGCCACTAAGTCTGGGGCAGTTTGTTAGGCAAAAGTAGAAAACTACGGCACCACGCTTCCTCTCTGAAGTCCTTCCTCATACACACCTGTGACTTCTTCCCCTCTGCTGCTGGGGCACATCATACACGGCTCTGCTACAGGACAGATCACTAAGTATTGTACTGATCCACTTAGCAGTCTGCCCTCATGACAAGATTCCTGAGTTCCTGAGAAGTGGTGGAAAGTACCATTTGTCACTATAATCTCAGGCACAGAGCAGGAAGGCAAAAAAAAATACTGATAAAATAAGGGTTTCATCAAGAAACAAAACAAAACAACCCCAAGATCCCTAATTTGTAATCATATGCACTAAAATCACCAGAAGATTTAATGTTTAAGCAAGAGAAAGACTCACCAAAGTAAAGAGAGAATGGAGAAAAAAAGTTAATATTCCTGTAGGGTGTTTCTAAGGAACCAGATGTGAATGAAGTCCCCTGGTAAGTGGGTGAGGGAAGCAGTAAGCAGAGGTATGAGGAAAAATCTCTACATTACTTAGTAAACAGGTATTTATTGAATGTCTGCTATGTGGTCAGGCCAGGAACTGTGGAAAACAATACAGGATTTAAATCCTGCTCTCAAAAATACTGAGCCTTTCTGTGGCATACCACGCTTAGAATGTTAGAACCAAAATGATTTTTAAAGACCTTGATTTTATATGTACTTAAGATTAAGAATCTGCTTTTTTTTTTTTTAATGCTTATTTTTGAGACCAGGAGAGGGGCTCAGAGAGAGGGAGACACAGAATTGGAAGCAGGCTCTGGGCTCTGTGCTGACTGCGGGGCTCAAATCCACAAACTGTGAGATCATGACCTGAGCCGAAGTTGGGACGTTTAACTGATTGAGCCACCCAGGTGCCCCCAAATCCTCTACTTTTTAAGCAAGTGGGAGCAAACTGATTTTCTCTTGAGCTCTATATTTTTGAGGTCCTTTGGTATTGGTCCTTCTGGTGCTGGCTGCCTAGTTCTCTGCAGGGCAGCTGTTCATTCTCAGCTCAGCCTGATAAGGATTTAGGTTGTTCTGAGGCTTTCACTCTTACAAACACTTGTCAAATAGCAACTTCGCTCCACCGCCTTTTACATCTCTGTGTAAGGGATCTACAAGTTGAATTCCAGGCAGGGCACACAGACATTTTATGCCACCATACCCTCACCCACGGCCGCAGGCTCCCTTGAGCAGCTAGGGCCTCCTGAGTTGGGGCGGTTGCCTACCTCTGGGCCTGTCGGGTGCAGTTCCCAGCTCTCTCAATTCAATTGCTGGACTGGAAATATGGTCTGGAATACGCAGGAAGGGGGTAGGATCCATAATGTACCCAGAAATCAAGTAGATGCTGAGCGAGGTATATATATATAAAAGGCACAGGAAGTTAAGGGGTACTTGAGCAAAGAAAGGGGCGGAAAAGAGGCTTTCTGGGTCAGAGCGGCGTGGGCTAAAAACAGTCGGAATACAGGTCATTCACTTCGCGGAGGGCCTCCCACGGCAACGCGATTAATTTGTGTTTTCTCCTGTGGGCGATGGGGAGCGAAGGAAGGCTTCCGTGAAACAGATTCAGGTTTCAGATTCTGCCACTAGATCTAGGGGTGGGTGTCAATTCATCTCTCTGGGTTGTTTCCACATCTGTTAAGCTGGGAAAGTAGTATTTGCTGGGCCGACCTAGAATGGTGACAGGAACTAAACAGAGAGCAGCTGTAAAACTTAAAAGGCCGATCTCCGGGGTGGTGGTGGTGGTTTACAGTTCGCTGACAAGCCGACAGTAGTATCTACAGTCCTTCAGAAAACAATTCTGTAATGAAGTCCGAAAATTAAGAGACAGATAGCTTTTCGCCTGCAAACGACATGCCACAGACTCAGAGTCGGTCGCAGCGTCTCCTTGCTCTGCTGCTCCGCGCCTGGCTCAAAGCCCACGCAGGAAACCCTCTCCCCGGCGGGCTTGGAAGTCTCGGGCGCCGAGGACTCCCGAACGAGGACGACGACGAAGGCGCGCGTGCGCGTGCGCGGCGCACCCCTCTCGGAGAAGGCAGCCGCGAGCTGGGGGCGGGGCTGGCGCCGGGGCTGACCCGGACTGGGAATCCCCGCAATGCCTAACGGGTGGGGGCCGCGGAACGTGCGTGGGCGCAGCCGGCCAGTGCGCAGGCGCGGGCACGCTCCCCTTAGCCTCCGCGCGGCGCTGTAGGGTGGGCGCGCGCCCGCGGCTGGTTGTGCGCGCAGGAGCGAGCCGGCCGTGACGTGCGCCGCGCTACGCCGACGTCACGGGTCCGTGTGTAGTGGCGGCCCGGCTGCCCTCAACGGCGGCGCCTGACGAAGGTGGTGCGGTCGCTGGGTGCGGCGTTCAGGGGTCGCGCGGTGCGCGGCGACGACCACGACTAGGACGACGACCGGGAGGCCGGGCACCTCCAGCTGCGGAGTCGCCGCTCGCGCCCCTTCTCCGGCCTCCGGCGGAGCCCGGCCCACGGCTTCCTCCTTTCCTGCCCAGCTTCGCGCGGGCCTCGGGGCCGCGGCGGCGAGAAGTACCTAGGGGCGCCGAGAGGCCCCGGCCGGCCGCGACGTTCCACGCGCCCGCCATCCCGCCCGCCGCGGGCTCCATGTGAAGGAGAGACCCGGCCTGCGCCACACTCCTCGCGCGCCCCTCCGGCCCCCGGGGGCCCGCGGCCTCCCGGGACAGGGGGGCGCGGTGACAGGCCGCGCGGGGGCGGAGGGGCGGGCTCGGAGGCAGCGGCGGCCCCTACTCGGGCCTGCGGCTCCCTGCGTCCCCGCGGAGCGGCCGGTACGTGCCTGTGTCTGTGTGGGGCGGGGGTCGCGGGAAGGGGGCCGCGGCCCGCCTAAGCGCAGCTCCCCAGGCGGGGATTTCGCGAGGTGGTGGTCCCGCTCCAGTTGGGCCGGTCTCGGGGGTCCCTGTAATCCTGTCGCGAATCTCAGGTCTGGGCTGTGTAGCTGTCAGACGTGTACTCTGCAGGGATTTTAGGAGGATTGCAGCTGGTCCCTTGGGAGAATCAGATAGATGCAGTAAGCGAAGAAGTGCTTCTCTGTGCACTGTCACATTGTGGTCCTCTTTTGATTGGGCTTGATTCTTCCTTCTCGCTCTAGCTAGCACTTAACTGCGCCGGGCAGTTGTCTCGCATTGTCTTGACTTTATCTTAGCACAGTGAGGTTGGTAGTGCCTCCCCATTTTACAGATGGAAGAATGGAGTCCCGGGGAGCTAGGGAATTTGTCCAAGGTCATGCAACTGGTAATCTGGGAAGCCTTGATTCCATTATGATGTGTGTGCCATAGGAGTGTATTTTTGTATCTTGAAAAAAAAATAATGTGAGGAAAACGAGAAGAGCTGGAGAGTTTCTTCCTGGGAGTAAATCAGGTAGATGTAGTTTACTTGCCCCTAACGTAAGCTGTCGGATGGGTTTTGCTGCAGCCTAGCCAAATCATGTTACTGGCTTAAAAAAAAATTACTTTTAAAAAGTGGCGCCTGACACCTTTACCTTTTCTTTTCTTTTCTTTTCTTTTCTTTTCTTTCTTTCTTTCTTTTTTTTTTTTGCGATAGGATTGAACAGTAAACATTTCACTTTTCTTAAAAGAAGGAACATAATGAAGACTTTTTGATACATATTAAAAGATGATGATAATTTAAAAAAAGAAATGTAATTGGTAAAGCTGCATACTTCTTGAAAGGTTACAATGTTACTTGTGCAGTTTATGCTTGATAAATACGGGGAACTCGCAGTTGGGTTCTTAGCTTGAGATTTCCTTATTGCAAAACTTGTTGCTGAATTATGTGGCAATGGCTGAACATACTTAGCAATTTGTGCACTTATGCAATATTTCTGAGTTGAGTGTCAAAATTCAGTGTGTGGAATATCGTAGAAACTTACCTTTTAATGGCGTGATTCCCCCCCTTTCATTTGTAGGTGGTGACTATCGATGTTTATATAAACTAACTGAAAATTCTCACTTTAGCATTGGCCTGTATTATTTCTTTGATTATGGTTGGTGACTATGAAAAGAGCCTTTACGTTTCTCTTTACAGACCAAATATTGATAAATTCCTTTGAGTAGTTGAAGCTTCATGCACAGTTGCAAATGTTTGAGAAATGTGCTGATGCCCAATTACAGTACTCTATAATTTTATCCAGTGTATTATCAGGTTTGAGAAAATTTGTAGTTGAATGGTTTTGTATTGTCTGTAGAGAAAAGGTCAGGTTATAGAGTTAACAAGTGGTTGGTTCATAGATTGATTTGTTTTTTTGGTTAAAATGTAAACTATGCTGAGTCCTGTTGAAGTATGTGAGTGTGAAATCATTATAGAATCGCTATCTAGCTGTGATATCCCGGTGTCTCTTTTGAGAGACTGGTTATTAAAGGGTTACTTTTAAAAATTGGATTACATTATAGGCTCCATCTTTTTTTAGGTGGGTCTTTCATATTTTTAGTTCACCTTCGTGCTTCCAAAGTGGTAAAGTGTACTAAATAGATGCTGTATTAGACTGCAGTCATGTTTGGTTCTTGACAGTTGCCACAGCTTGGATTTGAGAGTTGGAGTTACCTGGCTCCTCCCCCAACTTTTTGTTATGAAAGTTTCAAGCATACGGGAAATTGCTAATCGTGAACATCCATATCATGACCCTCTAGATTCAACATTTGTTGACATTTTGTTGTATTTTGTGTATTATTTTTGGCTCAGCCATTTGAAACTAAGCTGTAAACATTATGGCACTTTGCCTCTAAACATGTCAGCATAAGTTTCCAAAGATGGACCTTTCCTTACATAGCCAAAATACTATTATTGTCACTTTTTTTAGTTCATATTTTGTAATCAATAGTTAGTTGATAGTTTCTCATTGGCTATTCCTTAATGTAATCTAACATCATCCATACTTAAATCTATTTATACTGACTGGTCTTTTATGTTTTTTCACACTTAGCCACACCAAATCAAGATCCTATCAAGGTTTATTCACTGCACTTGGTTGTTAAGTCTCTTTGATCTCTTCGAATCTAGAACAGCCTCACCTCTCCCTTTTAAAATGAGGTTGCTTTTTAAAAAGAGATCACGCCAGTTACCTTATAAAATGAGTCACATTTTCTTTGATTTTTTCTCCCTCTGATGGTGTCATTTAGTGTATTCTATTCCCCTGTATTAGTTAACTGTAAGCTAGGTTTAAAGGCTTGATTAGTTTAAAATTAAATATTTTGGGCAAGAGTAACCCGTTGGTGATGCTGTGTACTTCGTATTGCTTCCCATCAGGTCATATACTGTCAGGTCCCACTATCTGTGATGCTGAGTTTGATCACTTGCTTATGGGGGTTAAGGTAAGGCCTGTTTTCCCCACTGCAGTTAGCAGTCTGTGGCATGATCAATCAGCACTATAGTGCTGGCCTGTTCTCCAGTAATCTGTCACCTAATAGTTGCAGCATCTGTTGCTAACCCTCGTCAGGCTGACTTTTGAATTTCATTGTCAACAATCTTTTACTGGTATACAGACAGAAACAGAAATCACAGGATTTGTAAAATACCCTATGTACTATATTAATCAGATTCTAATTCTGTGGGTTTTAAAAATTTTTAATTACAAATTCAGAGTATCTTCTGTTATGAAAAAAAAAAAAACCTGGCTTGAGAAAAGTGGGACAAACTCAATGCTTGTCTTTTCCTGTACTTTCACTCGGGATGTGTTTTAGTTTTTCTCAGCCAATATTTGTTGCACAGAAGTAAGCAGAAATATAATAAAGGATGGATTTATTAAAAAAGCATTTTGAGAAAACGGTCTATTTTCTGACGTAATGCAAGGAGCACTGGATTGAGAGTCTTTTCTAAATTCTAGTCCTAATTTTACCACTATGTGAAATTCAAGAATTATAAGTTATGTGTTTTTTTTTAAAATTTCACTCAGTGTTCTCATTTCATAATCAAGTTGGTACATATTTATGAATTTCTTTTTTAATTGAAGTATAATTGACATATTAATTTCAAGTGTATACCATAGTTATTCGATATTTTTATTCATTACAGAAGGATCCCCACAATAAGTCTAGTTAGCATTTGTAACCTTACAAAGTTATTAGATTGTTGGCTGAACTCTGTGCTGTACATTACATTTCTATGACTTCTTTATCTTAGGGATACTATAATTTCTGATAATAAGGAGTGTTCATTTAGCGGCGAACCTTATTTTGATTAAGTCAGGTAGAAATAAATATGTGTAATATAAAATTGAATTTATTTCCCAAGTAATTAACTGACATTTAGTGGGTTTATTTATTTTTAGGCTGTTGTTTTAAAGGTTTCATAATAGGATTTACTTAAGTAACACATTTTCTCATTAAAAATATGGTTTAATTCGGGGCGCCTGGGTGGCTTAGTCGGTTAAGCGTCCAACTTTCGCTTAGGTCATGATCTCGCGATTCATGGGTTCGAGCCCCACATCGGGCTCTGTGCTGACTGCCAGCTCAGAGCCTGGAGCCTGCTTCAGTCTGTGACTCCCTCTCTCTCTGACCCTCCCCTGCTCACGCTGTCTCTCTCTCTCTCTCTCCTAGAAATAAATAAAACATTAAAAATTAAAAAAAATATATGGCTTAATTCATTAAACAGTTTATGTGAAGTTTTTCCACATGTCTCTTGTGAGTCAGGATGATATGGAAATAAAGAATCCTTTCCTTTATTCTCAGGATGTTGTGTGAGGTATATCGCTGTGTCTACACACACACATACTTTATGAGAAGTGTGCCTGGGGGCGCCTGGGTGGCTCAGTTGGTTGAGTGTCTGATTTCAGCTCAGGTCATGGTCTCAGAGTTTGTGGTTTCGAGCCCCATACAGGGCTTTGTGCTGACCACACAGAGCCTTCTTCAGATTCTGTGTCCCTCTCTCTCTGCCCCTCCCCTGCTCAGTCTCTCTCTCTCTCTCTCTCTCTCGGAAACAAATAAACATTAAAAAAATTTTTTTTAAATGTAGCTGTATAATTTTGTTTTTTTGCCTTGTATATCTCTGGGATTTATTGGGAACATTGGTTGACTGCATTTTTTTATAATGGTTAATCATGTATTTGTTTTGTAACTTATCTTGTCTTTATAGTTACTTAACTCTTAGATTATTGCTTATTTTGTTGTTGTTGTTGTTGTTACACTTTGTCTTCCCAACTAAAAGGTAGAATCTTTGGGAGTCTTTCCTCCAACTAGCACACTGCCTTTCTTAAAAGTGCTCAAGACTGTTTTGCTTGAGACCCATAGTATCATAAATTTTATAAGCAGTGTGGTTTATAAACTTTGGGAGTTTTTTCTAAAAGTAATTTTTCCCATTTGTGCAGTTAGTAATTTGTGTGGACTTTAATAATTAATAATGATAAATTAAAATAATTGTTTAAGATATGATTTTATCAGTATTCTTTGGAGGATAACACCCAAATTAGGCACCCTCATCACTACCTCAGAATGCTCCTCACGGCCCCCTGCATCTGCCTCTACTACCATACTCACCACATTGTGCTAGAATTCCCCCACTAGTAAGTTAGCTCTTCAAGGACAGAGGCAGAGTTTTGTTGATTTTGGTGCACCCAGTGCAATGCCTGGAGCCAAATGTTTATTGAATAGAGAATTGACAGACGGGACCTCCTTTTTCAATGTCCTAAGATTCTTAAAAGGCGGTGCCTACGAAATCACTGATCATATAATGAATGTTTCTTATTAATTTATTGGTTGAGTTTTCTTTGTTCTCTTTTGTGGTATTGTTTATTTATCAAAATTTAAGCCATTTCTATATTCTGTGCACTGATTTAGGT